ACTTCCTGGGAGGTGTTAACAAGGACATTCAAAAAGTAACTAAAAATATTTGGACAGCAGTTTCTCTCACTAGAGCAGGGGTGGGGGACCTTTTTTTGGCAAGGGCCATTTGGATATTTATAACATCATTCAAGGGCTATACAAAATTACCAACTTAAAAATCAGCCTGCTAGCCCTAGCCAGTTTGGCTCAGTGGATAGAGCAGCGGCCCTCAGACTGAAGGGACCTGGGTTCAATTCCAGTCAAGGGCACGTACCTTGGTTGCAGGCTCCATCCCTGGTCCTGGTTGGGGTGCGTGCAGGAGGCAACCAATTGATGTGTCTCTTTCACATGGATGTTTCTTTCTGTCTCTCCCCGTCCCTTCCACTCTTTCTAAAAAATCAATGGAAAAATATCCTCAGGTGAGTATTAACAACAACAACAAAAAAATCAGTCTGCTAATCAAACATTTAATTAATGCACCCCTAATGCCTTGGCAGGGCCAGACCAAATGATTTCTCGGGCCTTATAAGGCCCACAGCTGGACATTCCCTACCTCCGCACTAGAGGGAGAGTATTTCTGACACCTCAAGAGGTCTTAGAGTATGCACAGAGTTCACACTGCAGGGCTAACTGGGTTTTGATAGGTACTAAGCCAGGCGAGCTGGATGGCACACCATTAAAATTATGACCACTACTCTCAATTTTTCCATGCTGGTCACAAATTGGGGGTTCAGAAAATATGGTCCCAGAGTCACGGGCTAGGCTCATTTTGGGCTAAGATGTATGTAGTCATTTTGCTGAGGGAAAACCAGAGGGAAGGGAAGGATGGAGGGAAATAAGCTGCTTGGTAAGAGGCGAGGAGTTAGAGTAGTGCTGGTGAACTGAGATGGAATCTCCATGCCCCATATACCAACCCTCCCCTTCCTACTCTTGTCCTCAGGTGGTGACCCTGTGGTACCGAGCACCTGAAATCCTTCTGGGCTGCAAATACTACTCCACAGCTGTGGACATCTGGAGCCTCGGCTGCATCTTTGCTGAGATGGTACAGACACATGCCTGAGTTCTACCCCGGCCCACTCCTCCCCATGTCAACAACAGAACTGTTTCTTGGCCCAGATCCATGGCCCTTCTATTATCACAGGGTTCTTTCTCTAGAGTAGCACTCAGGGGATGTGGGAAAAGGATAGGACTGTTGTTCCTGGTGTCAACCACAATGCTAGGATAGCCTCAAATAGCTTTAGCATCCTTGTACATCTCTGATCCCCAAGTTGAGCTAAATAATTTCTGTAGCTGCTTTCGCTTTAGTCTGCCTATATTTGGTAGCATGAGTTCCATTTAGTGCTTCCTTTGGCCTGGAGACCGTATTGTACGGTGTGAGGAATGCAGTGAAGCCACCTGTGTTCAGTTTATCCACATTTTTTACTTAAACTGCAAACTTAGCTCATGTCCCCACCCAACCTCTGGCTTTTGAGACTAAAGGATCCCTGAGGCCCAGCCTTAATATGTGAACTGTCGTCCCATTTAATACAATAATGGAGTGGGCTGAGTTTTTAAATCAAATCAATATGTTTTATGGTCCTTCATCTGGGTTGTAACCGGGGGCTTGGAGACCATTAGCCTATATATATAATGTGCATTTATCCCCCAGTGCATTACTTTACAATTGCCCATATTCCTCTCTCAATTCATCAAAAAATATTTGTTAAGCACCTAGTGTGTACCCAGCACCATGCTAAGTGCTGTGGGGAACACAGAAGAAATGGAAGACACAGTCTCTGCACGCTGTGCTCCTATCTAGAAGTGGCTGCATCACAAGGAGGGGGGATGACCGCAGTGTCTACCCCACACCCCGTGAGTGTCTTGGGATCCCTTTGCTACACGTCAGTGGCACCCCAGACATTCACCCCCTCCCAGACCCACCCAGCCTTGGGGATCTGCAAAACCATGGTTGGGGGAAGGAAGGAGGGGGCGAGGAGACAGATGAAGGGACTTTATTGTCTCAGGCTCTGTGTGACTGACCCCATGAAAGGCCCTGGGGAGGGAGTCATGGGGCCCTACTGACCTTCCACTGCCTGCGGGAACCTCCGTTATACAAGGGGCAGTTTTGACTGACGCCAATGTGGGTCTCGGCCTTTCCTCTTTCCCCATTTTCAGGTGACTCGCCGGGCCCTATTCCCTGGAGATTCTGAGATTGACCAACTCTTCCGGATCTTTCGGACTCTGGGGACCCCAGATGAGGTGGTTTGGCCAGGAGTTACTTCTATGCCTGATTATAAGCCAAGTTTCCCCAAGTGGGCCCGGCAAGATTTTAGTAAAGTTGTGCCTCCCCTGGATGAAGATGGACGGAGCTTATTATCGGTGAGAATGGGGGGTGGGCTCCCTTTCCTCTCATTGACTACCGTAGGGCAGGGTTTTTCCTGGAGGAAGGGAGGGTAAGCCCCTGGATTCAGTCTCAGTGTTTCCCTAGCTCCTGCTTCTGTCTTCCTGTTGGCATACCAACTGACCGGACAGATATAGGGGGGAGGGAAATGGGAACTCTGCCTTGGGTAAAATGCATTCTGGTTTCCCAAATTCTTGGAATACTTGCTGTCCACTAAGCCCGCTATCACATCACTGAAGTCAATATACATCTTTTCCTCCAGCAAATGCTGCACTACGACCCCAACAAACGGATTTCGGCAAAGGCAGCTCTGACTCACCCTTTCTTCCAGGATGTGACCAAGCCAGTACCCCATCTTCGACTCTGATGTCCTTCTCCAAGCCCCCGGTCTCACCCTCTCCTCCAGTGGGGGGCCTGATCTGGCTTGGCCTTGGGCTAAGGGTGTCCTCTGTCTTGTCTGGCTGCCTTAACACTCCTTACCTTCCTTCTTAGCCAGCCAACTCTGGGGATACAAGGGGTTGGAGGGGAAAAAATAAAAGGAAACTTCAGTATTAGATGCACTTAAGTCAGCCTCTACCAACCCTCCTTAGTCATTGCTAAGGAGAGCTGGTGTTTAAAAAAAAAAAAAGACTGACTCTTTCCTCTCCCCCCACATAGGATTTGCCATTCCAATCTCTGAAAGCCCCACAGTTATTATTTCCTGTGTTTGAGATGACAGAGGCCCCAAACCTCCTGCTGCCACTGTGTTTGTTAGGCCAATTGATGACAATTGGGTTTTGAAAACCAAGCAAAACAAAAACATAGAGAGGGGCCTGTTTTGAAAAATTAAGAAATAGATCCAACCAGTTTATACCCTAGTTTCAGTGTTTGCTCTCCCCTAATAGTCGGAGAGTCTCAGGACTCCCAGCCTCTGCAATCCTGTTGGGGCTACAGTAGAAATGATTGCCTCCAGTGCCCTTATCTGTCCCTCCTGTCCCTCCTCTAGGCAAGGGATGTCTGGGAGGCTCCGGGACAGGGATTATGCTTCACCGCGGCCTTATGAGGCAAGTGAAAGATATTTGGATTTTCCTCTTTTAAAATTCTTAGTTCTTCAGGTGGCAGGGCACATCTTCCTCTGAAGGCCACCCCCATAGGAGTGGAAGTAAAGATTAGACATCATTTTGAGAATACTGACACTTTTTTAGGGCTGTGAATGAGTGGGAGCACGGAGATAAAATATTTCTTTAAAAGAAGGATGAATAATTATATTTATATTTCAGGTTATAGTAGTTTTTTAGTGGGAGTGGGTGAATTTGTTGCCGTGTGCACCTTGGGGTTTTGTAATGCAAATGTTTAAAAAAAATATTGTTTTTCTTTTCTCTTATCTCTTGTCCTTGAGTATTCTTGCTATTAACATTATTTGTAATTCATTAAAAAAAGTTACTAGTGTTATAGTTTATCTTCCTTTACTTTTGTGTACTTATTTATTGAAAGAATGGTGTGAGAGAATATGAATGTGTATGTATGATAATTGGTTTCAGACCCCCACTTTTCCTCATCTCTCTGTGCAGGCCTACTCACCCCACCGCATTTTGACTTCTATGATGAAATTGGGATAGTGCCGAGGGTGGGCAAAGTGGGAATTATTGCCCTATTTTACAGCTGGAGAAACTGAAGCCTTCATATTTTCCCCACAAACCTGCATCTTCCCTTACTCCTTCCCTCCCCACTCCCACCCCCTCCCCCAACTCACATATAACCACAGACACATATACTGAGTTCTGGAATTTCAGTGTTAGGAAGGGCTTGAGAGCAGCAATATGATTGCAGGTGGGCTCCACGGAATTCACCTCGACACTGCATTTCCCAGTAAGCTCGTCATTTTTCCTTTTTGTTGCATATCACAAACACCAAAGTTTTCTAAATATACGTTATTCACCTTTATAATACGATTCATAATACTGTCAACTGTCTGGATGAAAAATTATTATGAAGGGGCTAAAGTCTCCCCAAGCTACCGGTTCGTGGGGCTGCCATTGTCTCCCCTCATTAAAGTCATCTCAGACCGCCCACCCTAAAATTCCCCGTACTCTAAGGCCCCACTAAAAGGAGGAAGCCCCGACTTCAAGGCTGCTTAAACCCCCAGGCTCCGGCTCCCACGGAGAGGTATTTCCCTTCACGCCCGCAAATTGGTCCTAGAGGGAGGGGCGCTCGTCAGTCCCTGCCAAATCCGGGGGGAGGGGCGAAGGTCAGAGGCTTCCTTCAACCCCGCCTTGCCTGCCATTCAAGTCCCGAACTTTCGCCGTACTGGTTAAAGTTTCCCTTCGGCCCGCCTCCGTCACTCACCTGATTAGATGTTTATGAGTCAAAAGGCGGGGTCATGAGGGTGTCAAGAGTTTATTGGTTGGTCTGTACGCCTGTCAACAGTGTACCGCCTCCTGTCTCGGGGAGCTCCCTCGTCAATGGCTCCTCACCCTGTCCATATTCAAGGTTTCCCTCTTCCTATTGGCCTGGGGACACGCCTGTCCGGTCCCAGGCTCGTCCTCGTTGGTGACAGCGCCGAAACAGGCCCGCCTTTCTCCGGAGGATTGGCGGAGCGGCGCACACAGAGCCCACCCTTGATGGTAGGCGTAATCGTGCTATTGGCCGGGGCCCCCGCCCCAGGGCGAGGAGGAGGAGGAGGGGCTGGAGGGTTTGGTTGAGCTGCGGCTGTTTGTCTGTTCGACACAGGCTTGGGCCCGACGGGGGAGACGGAGCCCCAGGTACCGGGCTGATGGAGCCCTGTAGGGTAGGGGCGGAGGCGCCCGGGAGAGGAGAGCAGCCTGGCCTGAGAGCAGAGGCGGGTCTGGGCCTCAGCGATGGGGTTAGAGCGGCCCGCTGGAGAGGGGAGAAGGGGGCCGGGCCCCGGCAGGCCTTATGGGGGCGCTGGGGAGGGGGCTAGGCGGGCTGGGAGCCCGAAGTTGGTGAGGCTGGGTTCTGCCGGCGGCGGGGCTGGGAGTGGGCACGCGAGGCCGCGGTCTGAGTGAGGGCAGGGCAGGCCTCATTGAGCAGCGCTGAGAGGGAGGAGCTGGAGGAAAGGCCGGGCAGCCGGTGAGGTAAGCCCATCTGCGGGGAGGTGAGGAGGGGTCAGCCCCAACGCCCGGCCCCGAGCGTCACCGGGGCTGGCGCTCTCGAGAGGTCTGATTGGAAGCGCCCAAGAAGGGTTCTGAGTTGGGTAGGAAGCCTTCTTTTTCCGGGAAAGTGACAATTATAACAATAGCGAGGGTGCCCCGGAGTGGAGCGGAGAGGAGGCTTTGGGTTCGGGAGGCCAGCGAAGGAAGCTTTCCTAACCGGGAAGGCTGAGGTAGTTGGGGAGCTGGACGCAGGGCCTGGCGTCACCGTGCAGCTTGTGGGGTCGCTCCAGGGTGGGCTGGAGGCTCTGGGGCTTGGGAGACCCACTCTCTTGTTCCCATTGAGTGTGGAGATGTGGTAACTGGAAGTTTTGGGTACTCCCAGGGTAGCCAATGAAAACCAACGTAATTTTTTATTTTTCCTGTGACTGTTGGCTGTTCCAAACTCAGACCCTACACTTTCCCTTGGCTTCAGCTGGAGAGTGCACGCTCTCTGTTTCTTCCTACCAGCCTCGGATGGTTTAGGGTGCAGTCCTTGTGCAAGAGCTGGGAAGTTGGATTGGGGGGATGTTTGCTTGTTTTCCCACGCAGTAATGTGGTCTGTGGTGGATACCATAGCTCTCACTTGGAAGTGGGGAATGAGCCAGCTCCTCTGCCCTGGAAAGGGGCTGAGGGATTCCCCAGCCCCCAGGAGAGCTTCCAACCATAGTTAGTGAAACTTTGTAAGACTTAGACTTGGTTGTTTCCTAGGCAGGTAATGATTAGGTGGAACCAACCCTGGAAATAAGAAGTGATATCACTTGAGGAAGGGATTTGGGGAAGAGAAATTCTGTTCCACCAGGTTGCCATCACCCCTGTTCTTTGTTTACTTCTTCAGGAGCCCCGGTTAGAAATAGCAAACAGCCCTGGCTGGTTTGGCTCAGTGGATAGAGCATCCGCCTGCGGGTTGAAGGGTCCCAGGTTCAATTCCAGTCAAGAGCATATGCCCGGGTTGCGGGCTGGGTGCCCAGTAGGGGGCGTGCAGGAGGCAGCCCATCAGTGATTCTTTCTCATCATTGATGTTTCTATTCCTCCCTCTCCCTTCCTCTCTGTAATCAATAAAAATATATTTAAAAAAAAATAGCAAACAGTAAGGCACTTGGGGAAAGGAGTGAGTAGAGAAAAGGAAGATGTATTTCTAAGGCACAGGAGTCCCCTCCTCCCATATGTTTTTAATGGTCTTCTGACCTTAGTCTCCCATAATGTGAAAAGTAATATGTACATATTTTTAAATATTCAAGCTGTACATAAGTTTAAAAAGTATAAATCCTCCCACACATAATCTCACCAATTACATTTCATCCAGGAAGGTAAGAGATAGCAGATGAGACTCATCTTGCTTTGCTTTGGGGAATGTGCCACCAAAGGCAATTTTGTTTTATGTTCCTACCAAACGCTGGTCTCGTTCTTTTCAGTTTCCCTTCTGGGATGATACTCTGTTATTTATTGTGCTCCTTTCACAGTTCTTCTTGTCTTGCGTCTATCAAATTCAGACAAGCAAAGAGCTGTACTCTGGGTTATCCCTCAACTTACACACACCCCAGTTGTGCGGTGGGTATCTTAGAAAATGCCCAGATAGATGGCCAAAACTTTTTTCTCTTTTATGAGCAGGGAAAAAACATGAAGGAGAATCATTTTGTTTGGGAGTACTATTGGCATCTCTGCTAAATGAGAAATTTGAGACTTCTATCTTCTTGTTCATGGTCTCTGCCTGTGTAGATTATATGACTGTCCCTTCATTATCCTAAGAGAAGATGATGGTTCTCCTAAGGGTCCCTTGTATCTTTCTATGAGAAGCTCCCAAGTTTCTCTAGATAAGAAATTGGCTGTCCTTTAAACCTAGCACAACTGGGACATTTCATACTACCTCCTTGTTGAATTTATCCTTACTGGCTTTAGAAGTCCTCTGATATGCCCAGCCTTTGTACAGAAACCTTGACTGTGTCCCCCAAGAGTTTTTATTTCCTCTCCGGCAAAGCCAGTCCTAGAGAAAATTGTAGGAGTTTGTATGTGTGTGTTTTAATCCTCTCTAGACTTCGCCGTGTTCTACATCCTGGTGATATCCTGTCCCTTTCTTTATATATTTCTGGGTCTTTTCTACCTTCCCCTTAATCAAAGCCGACCTTTAAGAAATGATCTGGAATTGCTTCATATTAAGGTGTAAGTAACCAATAGTCCCTTAAAGTATTAATCTTCCCAAGAGTTTTTGTTTCATAAGAAGGAGCTAAGGAGTGGAATTATCAATATAGAATTTCAAACATAAACCTTGAGTTACAAAAATTTACTTGGAGAAGGGGGCTTTCCTATTGCCCTTGAAGTCATACCTTATATCTTCTCTTACTTTGCCCATGAGCAAGATTGCTCTTCTATAGTTTGCTTGTTTGTGTGCACAGATAAGGATTTGACTTCTGAGGAGGCAGAGGGTAGGAGAAATAAGTGTATAGCTCCTATTCCTAAGGCATTCAGATTGGAAAGTAAACAAAGTGTAAGACAGTGACTTAAGGAAATGCAACAGCTCTCTAGGAGGAAGGATACCTTAAAACCCTACACAGTACACTCCCACTTCCCAAGAGTATTTTAGGAAAGATTTAGTCATTGACTGAATAGTAACTAAGCTGAGTAAGGAGCCACCCGTGTGAGCAGTCTGTGCAGATTTCTGAACCAGGCTGTAGCTTCTGTTTAAGGACCGTGGGTACCTTTTCAGTGTCCTCAAGCTCTGTGGTGGTATGAGTATTTGTGTGTGTGTTGTTTTTGTTAATCCTCACCCGAGGAGATAATGGCCCAAAGTTTTTTGAACATTAATATCAACTGAAAATTCAGGGAATTTTCTTATTTAGCCATAGTTGCTTCAGTGTTAGGGTGGGAGGGCCACAGGTTCGGTGTGATTAGGCCATTTGAGGCATAGTAACGGGTGACAGGAAAAGCAGTTAGCCCATATGAGTTGCAACAGTACCTTGTGGGTTGGGTCCCTAGGGGGCCCTCCATCCAAGGGAGATCACAAAGCAGCCAGGGAGAGAATTGGTTCTCTGAGGCTGATTAAAAACTTTTCCAACTGGAAATAAGTAAGAAGCTATCCAGATGGCATGGAAGGGGAGGAGTTAATGGAGGGAGGAAGCAGGATTGCTTTGGCCTTAATATAAGGAGCATTTAATGAACATCTACTAGGGATCAGGTATTGTGCTCTGCTCTGGAGATTCAAAATAACATAAAAAGTAGTCACACTTTTTGAGAAGTACATAGTTTAAACTAATATGACATAATAAATGCTGTGATAGTAATACAGTCTTAATACTGTGTGACCCCAGAGGAAGCAGTGATGAATACTGCTGGGGTGAGAGGGTAATTATGCAATTTCATAGAGAAGGTGACATTTGAGCTGGGCTTTAAAAAATACATTAGAAGTTTGCTAGGCAGGCAAGGTGTGAAAGGGCATTCCAATCTTTCCTAGGTCAATAGTAGGGAGTTTGTACTATCATGCTGATAAGAGAGAAGTATGCTTTTTGCCTCTTAGGAAAATATAAGGGAAAGAGAGGGGGAAGTGGAAGGACTCTCTCATTCAAGCCAGTGATTCACTGGTTAACATTAGATCAACACAATGAAAGAGCTGAGCCAAATGGTGGAGCTCTCGGTTCAAGATGTTTGTAATTTGGAATCTAAATAAAGTTTGCAAGTTGAAGGTTTTTACTGGCTTCTGCCCTATCTTCCATATTCAATAAATCTCTCCCATTAATCCCAAGGCCCACTGAATTCTGCAAAAGTTACCACTTCTTTCCCTATCACCTTCCATTAAATTGTTTCTTTCAGCTGTCCTGGCAGGCGTTGGTCAAGACCTTCTAGAAAGGCATAATAATGAGTCCTTTTGTCAGAAGGATGTGGGACTGGATCCCAGTACGCAGGGAAAGCCCAGGTCTTCCTAACATTTAGTCCCAAAGGAAGTACTTACCTAAAATGAATAGAGGCAGAAATTCTATCCAATCTCAGCTCTTGTTCCTGTCCTGGTGCCCTCTTCAGAGTTCAGTATCTATTGCTTCCCTAGGAGGTATAGTGGTATAATAGTAGCAAGAGTACCTGACTGGGAGTACCTGTTAGAGAAGATTTGCTACTAAACAGCTGTGTGACAGCTGATAGCTGTCTGTATGGTAACACCAGGCAAGGTGATTAATTTTATGTGCCTTGGTTTCCTCACCTATAAAATACAGAGACTGGGCTAGATGACCTCTAGATTGCTTCTTACCTGGCAAACTGACTTTACACGGCTGACATTTGGGAATGGGCTAGCTAGACTCTAGTGGCTATATACTTGGAACTCAGTCTCTGTAGATAGGTGAGAGGCTTCATATGTAGTAGGCATATGCTACCAAGTGGAAGGAACTCAAAGCTACCAAGTGGAAGGAAGCCAAAGGAAGAGTTGTGTTCTAGCTGGGATCAGCTGGCTGAGAAAGCCTTCCTATTCATACTTTCCTGCACTGGTGGGAGAGCTGCCCATCTAAAAAGAACTTGCCCCTTTATCCTCCCTCTTTCCCCTCTCCCAGTGGGCTGTTGCCAGGGTCAAGCCTCAGTCCTCCCTAGTTGATGGTCATCTGATAAGTCATTCTTGTGGAGCTGCACTTCTA